AGGCGCGGCCTCACGGACGCTCTGTATGCGCTGAGGCAACGCCGCGGCGAATATAAAAGCGCAGGAGGAGGCGTTTGACGCCAGCAAAGCATTGGTGCAGATTAATGGCACCGGAGGAGAATCACACCTCGTGCGTGCCGGCCATGAACAGCTCCGTGCAGTCAGATGATCGGCACAACTAGACAAGACGATGGTCAGCTCTGGTGTGCAGTTCCATCAGATGAGCCCGGGACTGAAGAGAAACAAATGACGAAGCCTGCCCTCCTCAAATTTGCCAATAACCGTGTTTCTCCTGAGATTTGGCCCACTTTCTTTTCAAAGTTTTGGGGCGGAAGCCCTCCCTGTCCGCTAACTGAACAAGAAACAACATCCGCGAAACGCTTCCAAACGTCCGTGCCGTGGCAGCAGCCTCGGCTGGTTAGTCAGTGGCCTTGCCTCGCACAAACGGCGCAGTTCTCGATGCACTGCGAGCCTGACTTCTCTAACCAGGTGAGAACCACGCGGCTGCTGCGGGAGAGCCGCACCCGTGTGTGGAGAACACGCTGCGAGCCTGGGCTTCTAAAACCTTCTCTAACTTCTCTAACGATGAGAATCGTGCGGCTGCTGAGGGAGAACCGCGCCCGTGGGAAATGCGCTGCGACAGCCGTGGCGAACACGGCATCTGACCGCATTCGTGGTTGTGATACATCAGGTGCTTCGAACATAAGGTGTTGTGAAGCATCAGTGGTTACGAGCGTTAGGTGACGCGATGATCTCACAACCCCCACATCAGTGGGAAGCCACGGGCGCGCAGAGGTGTGAAGCACCAAGGTGACTGTGGCGTCTGATGACGGTGATGGCGGTGATGGTGTGTAGCATCGTGACGCGGCCGGAGAAGCAGTGTGCTCCAATGTGTAGCATCGTGACGCGGTCGGAGAAGCAGTGTGCTCCAATGACGAGCAGGGCAAGACGCTCATCAGACTCACATGGGAATTCAACCAACACCAGCGTGATAGCCTTATGAGAGGCGACACCAGTTTGAGCATCAACAACACTTAAGTCGGTGAGCAGCGTGCTCATGGTTTGCGTCAGGTCACCGAGCATAACAGGACCCCGCATTCCACCACTCCATTTCGCGGCCGGCGGACAGGCGCCCTCGGTGAAGCTCGACAGTCGAGCTGGCTGGACTGCGCCGGGTCCCGCATATTTTTTCCGTGACCGCCCTCCGTGCCGCGCGAGAAGGGCCGCAGGTCAGCTGCTGGCTCTTGGCCGGCGCTCCGTTAGCTCCGCCCTCTTCCCGTGACGTCACGGTGCGACGTGAAGTAGGTCAGGCGCGGGACGCGTGCGTTCGGCCCGATGACGCCGAACGGAATCGCAGGACTCTGGTCGGTCTCTTGCCGACCACAGACGCCCAACTGGGAGGGAAGTTAGGAGGCCGGCAGCCTTTTTTGTTCATTTGTTTTCAGCCAACCCCATACGGCCGCCGATAAATCTTCAGAAGGTTGGCGCACTCGGCTGCCTCTCTCTGGACCCCACGGCTTCAGCACGCCTGCCGTCAAATTATCAAGAGTGAATTGCATATTCCATCGAATATAGCTCTTACCTCACATTAAATGTTCGTCGTTGTCACGATAAGTTAGGTAAACGCGTACGTCATTTAGTAACTTTCGACGGAGGCCTCAGTTGGCCAGAGCGCCTGCCCGAGCGCCTGCCTCCCTATCCAGCTACCGTTGACATGGGAGGGTCGAGTCGCTTCAGGTGTGGGTCCGACTGATCCCTTTCCTGACCGTATCCTTGCTCAGCATGACGTTCAAATCGTGTGAATCGTGCCTTTCTTCTGTGCAGCGGTACTTTCCTACCTACAGCAATGCTCAACGGTGCGCATTGTCTGTCTGGATGTCGACGTTTCCTTCGTCATCGGTTCGACACATCCCGAGCGAAGAGGACGTGAGCGCTGGGACATTCACAGTAACGCTCGGATGGCCGTGCTAACGAGCATCTGTTTCCGGGAAACTCTCCGGCATCCGCCGAATTCCGCACCGTGACGGGAAAGAAAGAAACAGAAAAAGACAATGCCATCCAACGTCATAGGTTCATGATCATGCCTGCCAAGGAACGGTGCATGAACGCTGCCCTTCCTCTTCAGCTATAGCAGTTGGTGGACTCCGAATCATACTGGCTGGGTTTCGGCTGTCATAGGTACCATCAGGATCCCTACTCGGCAGCCGTCTCCACGTTCCGCTTGTGCCACAGTTATCGGGTTTATGTCATCTGACTTTCAACTTCTGCCTTGACCTTGACGCCTCCCAATCCATTGCCCCTAGCGCCAGACATCAACCCCTCGTTCAGTCCCAAAGGATAATGTGGACGGCGTTAGCTGAGAACAGGGATGGACAGTCGATCCGACTAGACGCGGCAGCTGATCAACTGAACGGTTTTTTGTTCAGTCGTCCCCATGCAGCCGCCGAGGTAAAGGCACGGGAAGAAGTCATTTGGTGGCACGTCTCCCTCGGGCTGGAGCTTGTTCGTTTGTGGTATCGTCTGTTACCGGGGGGAAGCCCGGGCACACGGTCTTCGGCATGCAAGACTAAGTGGCCCGTGATTCAGATAGCTTGTGTGTCGGCAGCTTGAAGGCCGGACTCCCAGCTATCGATGACGTCATCCTTCACATTGTCATCTCCCGCCTTCCGCATTCAGATTCCCCGGACGCTTGGAATCAATCCCTTGTCCATCCCATTTTTAAGGCCGGTTAGCCATCTGAGCGATCTAATCTCCGGCATATATCCCTCGTCCCTGTTATCACCATAGTGGTGGAGAGAATCGTAGAATGGCAACTTTTCCACTACCTATCCTTCAACTGTCTTTTTGCATCATCCCAGCACAATCTCTGTTCTCGTCATTCAGCATAAACAGCGCTGGTGTCGGCTTCCGATCACGTTCTTGACACCATTGATAGGCGAGCTCGCACCCCTGTGCCTTATTGATTTAAATAAATGTGTTGACGTCATTCATCACGAAATGTCGATTCAGAAGAAGTTGCCAACGAAAAGTCCTGAGATTTCTTAGTGCACCAGCTATCTCCAGGGGCACACCCAGAGTGTGTGCCTGAATGCCGGGTCCATACGCAGGGGACTGCCACGGTCGCTCGACTACAGTATGGACATCTCCCAAGGCCCGACATTGGGTCCACTTCTTTTCGAGTTTTCTCGAATAATCTGTCTTTGCACGAAGAAAACTCACGTGTTTCTCAAGATGCGTATAACGCTCAGGTTTTCGTGGGCGTTCCGAAGGAGGATCTTAGGGGGAGAGGGGCCTTCCCGCGTGGAAGCCTCGCTTGCATCACTTAGCTGCTGGTTCCGTTCACGTGCCGGCGAGGTAAACGCAACCAAAACACAGCTGATCATTTTCGGCAGTCGTCAAAATTTACGCGCCTCTCCAGACTTGATGTAACTTTATGTGGCGCCGCTCTGCAATCGTGTGTGCAGGTGAGGACCCCAGGTGCCGTCCTTGACAGCACCCTCTCCTGGGTTTCTCACGTGCCCGACCTCAGTCGCCGATGCATGGGCGTGCTCATAGGCCTGTCCCATGCGCGGCATTGCCTTCCAGATTGTGCCATCAAAACTCTTTTGACGTTGCTGGTGCTGACGCAGGTCAGATATTGCCTCAAGGTTTATGGCAACAGCGCAATCCAGCTTTGATAAAATCCAGAGGACCATAAACCTTGCTGCTAGAGTGATTTTTGGCCGGTATGGATTTGACCATGTGTCTGACCTGGGTGAGACACTTCAATGGGTGTTGCCTAGACATATGACGGACCTCCAAGTGGTCATGTTAAGCCACGACGCACGTGTGCGATCCACGCGTCAGGACAAGCTCCTACACCTCCCTGGCGCAAAAGCCGAGGCTGACAGGAGACGTTTGGGCACCACGCGCCAACATTGCATAATGTACTGCCAGCCGGCATCACACAACTGACACAGCAGCGTTTCTTACGCGCGGTTAGAGCGCATCTGTAAGAGTGCTTATTGTGATTGGGTGAATGGATGCCTGTGTGTTTGTGCGTGGTGCAGTTGAACTTTGTGTCCTGCGCCCCTGCTGGGGTGGGGCGCGGCACGTGGTCAGGCTCGCAGGCCGGCCCCGGCTGCGCGGCAGAAGCGCGCCGCAGCCGCAGTTCGCACGGCCCCGGCTCGTTCGCACGGCCTCGGCCCGCGGCCCCTGCTGAGGGGAGTCGCCGTTGGGAGAGCAGCGAGTGCAGATGCACCGTCAGGGGCTGCAACCCCTGACGGTGCGAAACTACAATGCAGAGAAGATGTGGTGAAACATTTGGCGTCTCATTACAGTATCATAGTGCTTTTTTTTACCTGCATGTTTTTATCTTCTGTATTTTTGACACGTGGCTGTGGCTGTCTCGCTCTAATGTGGATGGCCTTATGAAGTAATACATACATGCATACACGTTTACACCACACCATCACATCTGCCTCGCTACACCACTACGCCAGACATACCACCCCCATCATACCTGTCATACCACATGAAAATTGCAGCCATCCATCAGTGCCATGCTAGTTTGGGCACATCAGCATATCACCCATTCAGTACTACCGTGCCAGTCACGCCACATCACACAAGTAACGTCTTATCACCACACATGTCACATCTCGCCGTGCCAGTCACATTTCACCACATCTAACACGCCACATCACACATGCCACATCTCACCACGCCTGTCACGCCACACTACACATGTCACATCCCACCTCACCTGTCACGCCACGCCACAGCACCAGTCGCGTCACATCATACCAGGTATGGCACACCACTATACCAGTCACGCCACACCACTATACCAGTCACGCCACACCACCATACCAGTCACGCCACAACACCAGACCAGTCACGCCACAACACCATACCAGTCACGCCACAACACCATACCATACCAGTCATACCACCTCATCATACCAGTCACGCCACAACACCATACCAGTGAGGCCACAATAGGTCACACCAACACATACCTGTCACACCATGGTGTCCTCGGTGCCAACTCTCCTCCCGAAGGTCGTTGCCCGGCTTGCTGGCCGCTCCCGCGTGCCGCTCCCGCGTGCCGCTCCCGCGCGCCGCTCGCTGCTCGCCACTCGCCACTCGCCACTCGCCGCTCGCGCTACGCCGCTCCTGCCCTCGCCGGCCCGCCCCGGAGACTGCGGCGGCTCACAGCAGAGCAGCACCGTCCGCCGCCGCCGCCGCCGCCGCCGCCGCCGCCGCCGCCGCCGCCGGGCGGGACGCGCCAGCCGGAAGTGTCACGGCCGCGCCGGTATGAAGTGGCGCAGTGGTGCGCTGGGGGTGGCGTGGAGGCGTGAGAGCACAAAATGGGTCAAGAGCTGGGCCCCGGCTTTGTTGCCGCACGTGAACATGAGAGGGGTGCTCGGACCCGTCGCAAAGGAAGCCCCTTCGTGACGGTTGTCCGTACATCGGTTTGAACGCGTATGGTCCTAGCTGTTGGGCTTACAAAAGCGCAAACGATGCACTTATGTGTATGCCAAGTGATATTCAGCCATTGTCTTGGAGCCTGATGGTACCTAGGATAAGGATACATTACATAATTTTGGCGTTCAGGAAGAGTCGAGGTGCTTCCTACCCCAGCATTTACTTCTGCTATGTCATTTACCGATGAAAAATAACCTATGGTCCTGTATCCTGTCTTAAATGACGTTGCAATAGGTCAGCGCTGGCTTTTGCTGCGGTCTTTGGGGGCCGCGTTCTGCTCCGCGGATGCTGCAGAGACCTCTTCGTCACGCCGGCGACACCGGCCGTTGCTGGGATGGCGGCGATGCCAACGTCAGCGTGGACAAGTAATCTCCTGGATTGCGTCATGACGGTGGGTGGCGGCACGTGCCAGCCGATCCAGATCGTTTTTGCGCCCGATGATCACTCCGATACAGCTGGACTGAGCCGGTTTTTCGCCGCATTTACGGTGCGCGCATAAGCTGTGTAGTGCGACACTTACAAAACCGCCACGTCATCGCGACAAACGTGCTTCGCGCGCCCTTGTGGCACCGATAAGCGTCTCATTTAGTGGTAATTTCTAATCATGAGAGGAGGAACGACTCAGGTAGATTGAGGACCGTTGGAATGTGTTCATTAACACGAAAAGTGGTGGCTGTATTAAAAACTGTCAGATATAAATATAGTTTTATACGGTTGGAGGCTGTGACTCGGAAAACGGTAGCCATTTCAACCGAGCCGGCACACTGCCCTGTCTCTAACGCCATCTGTTGGCATCCAGTGCAGTCCTTGAGGCAAAACGTGCTTAGCACAGCTGGTCACGCTCTGCTTGGTTTGTTGAAGCGTGTTGTTTGTCTTTTGTGAGGACGGGTCAGTGAGTCAAAAAATGAGAGGCAACTTACCGTAACACAGCTGCCACGGCACATATACGGCCAGTCACGCTCTGCTTGGTTTGGTGAAGCGCATTGCTTTTTTGGGAGGGCGGGTCAGTGAGTCAAAAAATGGGAAGCAAGTTACTATAAACACAATTGCCACGATGCCTGCACGACCAGCGTGGCTAGCACGGTCAGTCACGCTCTACTTGGTTTGTTAAAGCGTGCTGTATTTTCTGGGAGGGTGGTCAGTGAGTCAAAAAATGGGAGGCAAGTTACCGTAAACACAGTTGCCACGATACAGCTGCAGGCTGGTCTTGGTGTTGGTTCAAATTCAAATCATGGGCAAAAAGATCATAGCATGTCATAGCCCTGGCCCGGACCGGCTGTGGCCTAGGTCAGGCATGTGATATCGTACGCCATATCGGGCGTATCAGACCTATCATATCATATCAGGGCATGTGATAGGCCTAGCCGGGTCAGACTGTCCGCGGACTGATCTGACCCGGCGAGGTCAGGTCCCGGGTCACCAATGGGCTAAACGAACTCACCCGCACGAAACAACCCAGCCGCCAGAGGGTTACCTTTCCGCCAGGTGCGTGTGCGTTGACTCTGGTGCATGGCTAATGGTGGTAGTTTGGGCCTGGCGGCCGCTAATGGCTCCCGACTCAGCCGGATGTGACTACTGTTCTCATGCATTGTTTGCAACATTTTTGCCCATGAATGGCGACTATGGTCGAAACAGCACGCAGTGGCAGACTGGGAAGAAGCGACCGCAAGCCAGAAACACACGGGGATCATCGTTCACGACGGCTGTCATTGCGTCTGTCAAAACGCTCGCCACAAGTGGCATCTGTCGGCGATAGTATGAACTAAAAGTATGATTGAGACACGAGCCCGACCGTGCATATCCCATTACAACCTATTGTGTAATCAGCTCATTCACCTAAGCAGCAATGACATCAGATCACACATCTCCATGTTTTTGAAGCTCATTAGGCTGCATTCACAAGCGGTTTTAGCACATGACGACTGACTGCGTTAGTAAACAACGCCTGGGCGGGGGCGTCTGACAGCAGCGCCACCTATTTGAGCAGCGTGCCGCAGCCGTTTACGGCCGGCACTGCACGCAGCCGCCGCTTGACAAAAACGCGCGGCCCAAGCACGCCGGGTCCGCGTACCATATATAGCGACTCAATGTTAGCCGCTGACCGATCTGTCGTACAATAACTAACAGGCAAGCAAAATGGTAGGAGAAGACGGTGACCACGTCTGCTTAAATATTCAGGTACTTCGGACGAGCGATATTCAATCAATAAAGTAGACCAAATGTGCATTACGTTGCGGGTATGGATCGTGACACTTGCGTATGACCATCATCCAGCTTGTAAGCACGTACAGATGCCCATGTAAGCACGTGTCTGTCCCCTGCTGACGCCGAACGCAGATGTAATGGGCCAATATGAACGCCACTTACAATCTTGGGCGGTGTGCCCTCCCCCCCCCCCCCCCTCTTTCCGGAACCACACTTGCCATGTTCGGCGAAACCGTCCAGTTTGGTCGCACCTCGCAGTTTGATCGCATTTGCACGCATTTCTGCCGACCTCGCACACATCTCCGGACTCGGCGTCGACTGTCGGCGGCTCGGAGGCGACACTGGCATCCAATCGGACGGCGAAAGACCCCATCGAACCCGTTTCTGTGGACTGATGCGCCAGTTGCAGTATGTGAAATGTTTTGTCCGGAGTGATGTTCGTCTTCTTGTGGTGTGGCGAGGCGTCATTTCTGACTGACCGCAAGCCTATGGTGCTCTGCAAGGAGCACGCGCTTTGACGGGCCTCAGTCCCTTGCTCCGGTGAGGAGCAAAGGACTGAGACCCGTCAAAACGTGTTTGAGCATTACTCTTCACAGCACGAATACAAATTTAAATGCAGCTCTTAAGCCCAATCGATTTAAACAGTGCATCCTCAAATGCCTGAAAGGACACTTGGAAACATATTTCTTAACTTTGGAGGTATTTGTTCTCAACACTTTGGGCCAATACATTTTCCAAATGAAGCTTCACCTGGTAAAGCGCTCCTGGTTTGTCGGAGAGCCGTTGAAATCTGCGCCGCCTCAAAATCTTCAGTCGTCGCTTTTCCGCTCGTGAACGGGCTCACAGGATGATGCAGGAAAGCAAACATCAGAGTTACTGGCGACGACGGATCTGGAGTGCGCTCGCTTTCTTTCCTTCCTGCTGCCCAGCAAAAAAACTCAGTTTGGGCAGAGATGTATGCTATTATTGTATCTGATTCGTCCATGTGACAGGCTTGGCCCTAGACTGTGATATCGCTAGCGTCTTGCCTTTTAACATGGGACCTACGAAAGCCTGTGCCTTCCACTTTTTCAGGTGTGGACAAGAAAATACACTGCGGCCCCCGCTCCTCTCTTGGCAAACCCGAGGCACTCAGGCTTTGGATAAAGTACGACATAGGAGAGAAGAAGGGTGCTTAGTTTCACATTACCCCTCTACAACACATCGAGCCGGAATACCGGGGCATGGGTAGCCCAAAAAAGGCAAGAAAGATTGCATGATGTATTTTAGTTGCTGCTACTTAAAGGGTCTCCACGGGATTTTCGTCGGGTCCTCCTTACGAGCCTCGAGCGTGCCCAGTTGAACGAGTGGCAGTTTCATGGTCCTAATTTTCGTTGCTTCGTGGCTACAAAACTGATTTTAGATGCGCATATTACTATTCTGCTCCTGTACATGTCAAACTGCGTTAAAACGAAATGTAGCATTTCATATATGTTGAAGATAAAGCTTTCCACCATGGCATTGGTTTATTGCAGCCGAAAACGTCACTTGTGGCCCTCAACATTAATAACTCCACGTAATCATAAAAACTATGCAAAGAAGTTAGATATTTACCGAGTGTATCCTGATGCGTACATAAAAACGGATGCATGAGTGCGAATATTCCGGCACGCCGTCAATGTGCACCACACCGTACAATGTGCACCACACTTGTAGGATATACACCACACCGTAAAATATGCATCACACGTGGAATATGCACCACACCGAACAATACGCACCACCCTGTACAATATGCACCACACCGAACAATACACCACACTGTACAATATGCACCACACCGACAATATGCACCACACGTACATATGCACCACACCGTACAATACACCACACCGAAATACGCACCACACCGACAATACGCACCACACTGTACAATATGCACCACACCGACAATATGCACCACACCGTACAATATGCACCACACGTAATATGCACCGCACGGTACGATATGCACCACACCGTATTATATGCACCACACCGTAGAATATGCACCACACCGAACAATATGCACCACACCGTACAATATGCCACCACACGGTACAATAGCACCGCACGGTACGATATGCACCACACCCGTATTATATGCACCACACCTTAGAATACGCACCACACCGCAGAATATGCACCAGAAACGTAGAATATGCACGGCAACCGTATGGGCTCTTTAGTCTCCTAAGTCGGCTGTCACGCAAATAGTTACATTTAATGCAGAGTGTATGGCCAGCAAGAGGAAGCGGAAAAGGCAAGATGCAACATGCAAGAAAAGTGCAATGCTGATGACAGTCTTTCCTCACATATTGCGTACGACTGTTTTCAAAAGCGCTCCGAGAAGTGATAATGCCTGAACGCGATGACCCCCGGTTCTAAGTAGAGGCTGTGCAACATGAAAAGGCAAGAGTGGGTGGCAG